TTCGAGCACCGGCCAAGCTGGTAGCATTGCCGTGAGTCCCCGGGTTGAAGCTGCTCTGATTCATTGGATTCTAATCAGTAGCCGGATGGGTGCTGTCCGATTGGTTGGCTTTTTCAAAGCCTCGAAGTCGCGCGGGACTAATAGGTGTCTATTCATCATCGCTGCATTCGCGCCCACAAACTGTAGCGATGATTCGGTGAAGAATGACTTCTACCGCTAACTGACCCAACTTTTTCGCCACAAAAGAAGCACGGACACTGTTATGCTGGCTGGGGATCTGAACGCACAAGTTGGAGACTTGTCCACTGATGAAATGCATCTGGGCGGTCAGCACGGTGTAGGCTCCCGTAATGATAAGGGTGAGCGGTTGCTTCATTTGTGTGATGATGCTTGCTTATTTATTGCGCTATTGACGAAGTCATGGAGATTGCACTTACAGGACATGACTTGGAAGGTGACTTGTCGCCCACCAGCCTTGGACGCAGATCGATCACATTGCTATCAGTTACTGCTGGAGCGGCTGAATCCAGAACTGTCGCTCGATTTGGGACACATGTGTGGACACTGATCATGCACTTATATGTGCTGACATGCGGATGCGTTTTGGCGGACGCCCACGACGACGTGACCGCATTGACACGAGCCAACTGACAAAGCCAGCTCTTCTGAATGCGTATCAAAGTACGCTGACATGCGAGTTGAGTAAGCGCTCACTGGAGACAATTGATGGTCACTGGTCACATGTTCACCAGACCTTACTAACAGCAGGCAAATCCTCATGTGGTATATCTAATAGCCAACAAAGATATTAGGTCTCTTCGCAGTCTCTAGAACTTATCGAGGCTCGCCTGTCCTGTCACAAGTCGGACCTGATGGGTTGGAGCGTGTGATTGCTTACGGAAGTAGATATCTGAGCAAACACTAACGTAATTATTGCACAACACTCAAGGAGATGTTGGCTTTGGTGGCATACACAGAGCATTCTCGCCATTTCCTTTTGGGGCGGCGTTTCGTTATTCGCACGGACGACCATTCGCTTAAGTGGCTACAAAACTTTAGGGCCCTTAAAGGGCAGGTCGCCCACTGGCAAGAACAACTTCAAGAACATGATTTTGCATTTGTGCATAGATCCGGCAGACAGCATGCTAACGCGGACGTTCTGTCACGACGCAACGGCAAACACATCGTCGATTGTCCCTCGTGTTCTGATCACCACGTAGACATAGTGTCGCTTGACACTTCCACTTTTGCTGAGTGGTCGGATCTCCAAAGGAACGACCCGGAACTCAAGCTTATTTATGAAAGGCTATCCAACAATGGAATCAAACCTACGAAAGCGGAGATGGCAGGCTTAAGTTGGAGGTTCATTGCCTGTGGTCAGTATGGCAACGCCTCGAAATTCATGCTGAAATCTTGTACTATCAATGCGAGCTGAATTATTCCAAACGAATCATTGTTCCCCAATCCAAGATCGCTTTCGTGTTGCGCCAAATACATACCGAATTAGGACACCCCGGGCAGAGAAAAATGGATGAGGCTGTTGGACAGCGCTTCTGGTGGCCAGACCAGCGCAGAGATGTGGTTAACTTCTGTAGCGCTTGTCAGGAATGTCTTCGAGCAAAACCGTCTCAGAGGCCAAACCGCGCACCGCTACAACCCATCCTCACCGGGTACCCAAACCAAACAGTTGCAGTAGACATTATGGGACCCCTACCCCAAACAGACCGTGGTAACCGCTACATTCTTATCCTGGTCGACCATTTCACGAAGTGGTGCGCGGCCACTCCTATTCCCTACAGCGGCGCAACTGTAGTGGCACATGCGATCTTCGAGCAATTGGTTTCGCGTTGGGGCGCCCCAGAGCAGTTGTATTCTGACCGAGGTTCGAATTTCGAGAGCACTGTGTTTCTGAGCTATGCCATCTTCTTGGTATTCGTAAAACGCGCACTACTGCTTACCTCCCGCAAGGAAATGGCGGAGTTGAACGCGCAAATCGATCGTTAAAGGCTCTGCTAAAAGCGTTCACGGACGAATACAGCATACTGGAGTGGGACCGCGCGCTACCACATTTTTTGCTAGCATACCGTTCCACCTTTCATTCTTCGACATCCCACTCGCTACATTATATGATCACTGAGCGTGAGATACGTCTGCCGTTCGATTTGATCGTACAGCGACTGGCGCCAGATTCGCTGCTAGCCACAGAGCATGCCAAGAGGGTACGCAGCGATCTAATTCGTGCGAACCAACTCGCAAGGAACTGCTTGTCCAGCGCCCAACGTCACCAAAAAGACTACTACGATTGACGGGTCGAAGGCTTACCGCTACAACCTGGACAGTTAGTCTACTTGCATGCACCGGTGCCCCCACCGGGACTTCCCTCGAAACTGCGCAAGGAATGAGCAAGACCGTCCACTGTTGAGGAAATGTATAATGATCATACCTACCGTATCACGGATAACACTCAAGATCCGAGACGTTTTTTGTGGCTCACTTTAACCGCCTGAAATCGGCGACTCTGGGTACCAACGACCCACGCGTCTCGCATGAGAACGAACCCTCAGTTCCAGAGTCCACCGAGTACGCGGAGATAGGTGATACGACGGCACCCGATCGGTGGACAGCAGGTGTTGAGGACAACACCTAAATCTAGAGGCAGTGTAGTCGCATCGCACTCACTTTAACCGCTCTCTTCATTCTCACTTTTTCTCTTATTTTTCAGATGCATATTGTGAGACCTCCAGCGCTAACAAAACCACCAACAGACAGTCGTGAACCATAAACTGCTTATCTCTTTTATCTCTTCGCTTGTATATTCTATATTGAGCCAGTATGAACGAGTTGGTGGGTAATAGACAGGTAGGCACAATGTCAATATGCACATCAAGCGCAGCCACACCGGGGATATCAAGAAACAGCCAATCCCTTGAAACGACAAGGTGTAACACAATAAATCGAACAATGCATACAGATACGGTGGTATAACTCTTCGCTAAATTAGCATATGAAATAAGTTGGTTAGCAACGAATGCACGAGAAGTAAAAAATGTCCACAAGTTACTTTAAAATGCTATAACCGCAACAAAGTTACCGAAGGTAAACGCAGTAAGCGTGAGCAACGTGCCCAGTTATTAGAAAATTACTCAGGTAGGCAGAACAAACCAAATAAAGTGGATTGGAATTTAGCCAGCTTAAAAAGACCTAGTTTAAGTGTAACTTGGTTTCGCCCAACCGCGGTGAAGAAGCATCAAGAATGCAACATCAGCCTCAGCTTGGGAAACAATATAAATATAATATACAATAATAGAACAATATAATAGAAGAATTATGATAGGGCAATTATATATAGAACAATTCAATACCTTAACCCATATTCTAAAAAATGTCCATAAAAAGGGTGCTAACGGAAATTGTTTACAACGCTCTTGTAAACGGCATAACTAAGTACAATAAAGCCTTCGAAAGTCGACCACCAAAAGGACTGGTCCAAAGTGGTCAACAGACAGAGATATCGATCAACGAAGTTTTCATTGTGAAAATTAAAACGGTCAACTTAGTGGTTTTCCCGATATAGAAGTGGTCAATTTCGGACGTTTTGCTGTATTTCTATGCCTAGATAAAGTTGACCGGTTTGAGAACAGAAAAACCTTCGGTCTTGTTCCGCAAGGATGAGCGGCTCCCTGCGTTCACAAAAAGCATAACGGCTGTGCTGACAATTTCAATTAAAACGAATTCATCAAATTGCATGATCCTAGCAGCAATGAAGTTGTCGGCTGAATATCGACAGCATCCGAATGAGGAAATCAAGATAGCAAATCGACTAAAGTACACTTCTGATTGCATTGGCTTCGATGCAGGGATAAAAAAATGACACAGACAGCATCACAAAATCGCCATTTCGGTCCAGAAGAACTGATTTGACTCTGAGTTCATCTGACAGTACGGTTTCAGCTCTAGAAACTCATTGTTGAGTAACGCAATCAGAGCCCAAGTGACGATTGGATGCAGCAACAGTACATACATGAAGCAGTAGTCCATTAGATGAAGTTTTGCAAGCCGACCACAATCAGTCCAAGAAGGCTGATCGTTCTGATCATACCAATGGCGTGTGCTTATGCAAGGGCAAAAAGGTAAGAATAGATTCGTCATTGCCATAGTCATCGTCACATGTTCTCACTAGCTGTCTAGATAGGTACATATGGACCGACAGACCGCCCACCTTGAAAGGAAGCAATCGACGCTGCACGCGTACTCAGTGCAGCGTCTCCCGGACCGCGCGACTCGTAACAGGCGATGTTCAAGAAGGCAGAACATTGTCCAAAGGGTGTGGGGTCATCACATCTCCTGCAAATGCAAACTCAGTTAATGCATTGTTTGAAGTTGATGTTTGCGCACAACTCAAAGATTGCGAGTGCCCGCAGTTCTACAGTATTCATGCACGTCCAATGGTCGTGTTGTGGCGATAGTGGTGCTGGTTACCATGGTGACAGTGGTGGCGAATCATGAGAATAAAAACAGTGGCCAAGTAAAGGTGACTAAGCTACCTTCAACAAGTAGTACGTTGATGAGATGCATCGCATTTAAAAAATGCGATGGAAAATCCGCGTCAAGCCAACGATCCTCAAGTGTTACTATAGTGCTCCACTAGTCAATAAGCTACCAGCACAAAGTGCAGATATTGCCGTACACTTAAAAATGCGATGTTAGCGTGAATTCGCATCAAAAATGAGAACAGCCACACGTATGATATTGTCCTCTACCAAGTCTCAAGCACTGATTATCCTCAGAATAGCCACACGTATGGTATCGTCCTGCCCGGTCTCAGGCATTGATTATCCTCAGACTAAAATAGTCTGGGGGTATGGAAAATGCCATGAATGTCCATACTTCTGATACGAAGGTGAGCGCAGAAACTCACAGAAACGTAGCACAATAGTTAAAATGAAAGCGTCGCCGAAACGCATGTACCGGGTGGATATGTGACTTGTAGGCACTTTAGGATGGCTTCCTTCGGTGGCCAGTTCCCAGACGGGCGCAACCAGGTAGGAGTTATGGCCTTCAAGCCTAACTAGAAGTCATAAGAGCGTGCAGAAACCAGGCTGTGAAGAGGAATTGAGCTAGTTTCGAGCCACAATTGCAGCATGAAGTCGAGCAACCAGCGATTTCGTTGCAATGGGCAAAAGTGCGCTGGAAGGTTGTCCACTTAGGCAAGACAACAGAACGAAAGGGATTATTACTGTCGCGCATGCAAACAACAGGGTTAAGAGTAGCCATGTGATGCCAGAGGTGCGTGATAGTCTCCACATCAGGACTACGACAGCAAACGCAGCAGAATGGTGCGAGCAACATGTGCACAACGCGTAGCACGAGCACTTGTAGCGATTGGCTATATTTGGAAAGGGGGACGGCATCGGGCCGTTGGAAGACGGCTGAGAGGTACGATACTCCAAGTGAGCAGTGAAACGGCTTCTGTTGTTTACATTAAAATAGTTAAGATAACAGCATCCATTTGCAATAAGATGTCAGCAGTACGCCGGTACGCAGTACCGACGCTACGCTGCCGTGCCACTATCACCAGTCGCCGGTGAGCTAAGCATACTGCGAGAGTCACTCGGTCCTCTCCGAAGGCTCGAACCCGAGCCCTCGGATTACAAGGCAGGCTTGTGATTCTCTAGACAACAAGCCGGCACTGCATCTCTTGGTATTAAATGATTGAAATCAGATGAAAAACTACGAGTAATCATGAGCGGCAGCTGATTGCTGATTGTTCCGACATTGACAACCTGACGGAAGCTGGTTATATTGGTCTTTCACGAGTGACACGGGAATTATTCACCATCGTAAAAGCTGGCATGCATAATGACTGAAAAAAGAACCAAGCAACTTACGTAGAAACTATTTCCATAGCAAACTACAATTCCACGCACAAATGCACTTCGTACTTCCTCAGTGATTCATCCATATATATATATATATATATATATATATATATATATATATATATATATGCGTTTGTATCAGTAAGGCATCTTCGGATCTCATTGAACATCGATGAAGCTGAGCGCAAACAAGATTATCCATTTTCAGCTTTTTTGTCAATCAGATAACGCGCGTTATCTTTTTTCTCCATTCCAGCCGCGAAATATGCCTGGCTCATTTCCACAACAGCTTATACCAGTCGAGTCTCTCTCTGAATATGATGTTCAGGAGATACTTCCAGATGGTCGAGAAATCCTTGAGAAGTGGGTGTTTTGCATTCTACTTTACATATTCACATAGACCTTTGACTCCAGCAGAGCACTTTCAGCAAGTGCTTAACCACATCGATTTCACCAAGTCCTACGATGATAGCGCTGGATCGGATGAAACGGAAATTCAAAGTAGGGCTTCAGAGCGCGCAGTGTCAAAAATGTGGAACAGTCTTCGAGAAGCTGTAAGGTTTGTTTTTGTCCTTTTTGCTATTTTTAGGATGGCCCTCACAGAAATACGTGCATTCGTAGATATACTTGCGGTGATCAAAGAGGAAAAATATCTTTCACTTTTCCCTATTTCCAACGACCCTCCAGAATTAAACCTTCCTCTTCTCTTTTCGGGCAAGAAAAGGGTAGGTAGCCCGGTGTTTATTTTGTCTTTACTGATTAGGCCCTGGCTTCGGCTGCTGAAGTTTTGCTGAAAGGGACAGAGAGGTTGCGCCGTCGTCACTCTGAACTGGCTGATGCCAGGTTGAGAGCTTCGACATCCTCAAGTGATCGCAAGAAAAACACCTTTCCCTCCGACAACTTTCATACGACATTGATGCAGTTGCGGCAAGAATGGAGGCTCAAGCTGCACCAAAATTCCGTTATTGGCGATGTTAGTTTACGGTCTATCGGATCACGTTTCCGAGAATCCGGTACTTTCGAAATTCGGGAATCTGACCTAATTGCTGATAAAATTGCCGGAAACAGTCTCACCCAACCAGAACCGGATGGTGGAGTGGAGGTAACTAATTCCTTTTCTCATCACGTTAATTACCACCACCAGCCGCGGCAACCCAATGATAGTCATCTGGCGTACACTTATGCCTTACTACCATTTAACCCATACTCCTGTAGTTCTCGTAACCCGAGTCCATTATCACCTGTGTCTTAATGACATCCAAGCCAATAAGCATTCATTACAAGCAACCGTGATCACGTGGCTACGGCTGCATAGCCACTAGGGATCTTTAGCACGGGGTTTCTCAAACCACAAGATCAGCCGTTAAGTGGAATTCAGCATGTAGTTGATAAGGAACGAGAAGCTATGTTTACTCACTAGATGTCTATATTTGGCACCTGTTTTCGATTCAGATACTCATCATCATCAACAGCAGTACATCAGCCATTTGAACTGATGCTTCGCTGCCATACAACCATGGTGACCTAAGAAATAAAGAATAATAAGAGGGAGAGAAGGGGGACTTACTTGAAAACCTTAATGCCCTAAGCAAACATCCAGGGTCAAGGCGCCTATACCTTGTGTTAACAACATACTGTCACAAACAGCTGGCTATCGTACAACGATAAGGTGGCATCGGCGAGACAGCTTCCTTGTGGCTTTCACTGCCCCGCGTCATAATCAGCGATTACCCCGCAGATAACAGCACCAAACACACTTTAAACAGGCAATCCGGCTAGGAGACGACAGCAGACGCGCCACTGGTGTCGGTTACGAGCCATGTCCTGTGAAGTCTAGCCAAGTACAAGGTGAGTCACGTGGACTCCAGCCCGGAAGACGAGACGTACCAACGGCACCTAGTTTGGTCGTCAGTGACTTCATTTCCAGCTGCCAAATCAACTTCTGTCTACCTCGAGCCTTGCACCACCCTACACCTGGCAGACTAAACAAGACCCTCCTAGGTAAGCGGTGACCAGGCATACGTAACACATGCCCAAGCCAATGCCACTTACTCAGAGCTATCTGTTGTTCTGGGGAACTAGCATGATTATCACTACCTAGTACTCGCCTACACATCATCGTTGCGGATACGCTGGTGCTATCCGACAACAGCAATGCTTCGCAGACAACGATGATCAAAGACTTGAAGGTGCCTCAGATCTTCAGACCGAAGGGGCCAAGTCCCACTACCACAGAGAAGAACGACCCTCACTGTGGCTTTGTATAGACGGTCTTTCAGACTGAGGGAAACTTCCTTCTGTTGTCAAAGATGCCGCAGGTTCAAGAAGGCAGCGCTGGCCTTTGCAATGCATGAAATGACTTCGGTTTCTATGCGCCCATCATTGCTGATGCAGCTGCCAAGATAAGTGGATTGATCAAGCACCTCGAGTTCCTCGTTAGTAAGGGTCAAGGGGTCATAAAGTGGCTGGTGGTCTTGCAGCAACACTTTGCACTTTGAAGGTGCGAAGCGCATACCAAATAATGGGGACACTCTAGACAGGCTATTCAGGGTTGATTGTGCCGTCTGCAACATCGTCGAAAAGCAAGACGATATCTTATGCATAATCAAGAGCAAGTAATCATTCGCCAGGAAGTACTTCTACGCCTACATCTTGGGATTCCGCAAGGGAACACTCCATGATAGAATCCACTACGAAATTGAACAAAAATGGGGAAATCGGACAACCCTGACAAACGCCACTTGTTGTCGGAAAGCTATCCGACAGGTCACTGTAGAACCTGAAGCGGCCTGTAGTGTTCGAGTACAGAGCATGTAAGATGTTCACATATTTCGTGGGAACCCCTTTCCGCGCGAGTATTTCGAACAGAATGCATTGATCGACTGAATCGAACGCACTCTTGAAGTCGAGGAACACAGCTATTATCGGTGTGCGGTACACGTGACGCTGCTCTAGCACCTGCCGCAGAGTGAATATATAGTCTATACAGCCACGTCCATGGCGGAAAGCTGCCTGTTCTTCCCTACTCCGAAATGTCCGTTCCACAAGGAGGCGACGAACGAGAATCGAGGCCAGTAAATTTGTCAGCACTGGCGTTAGGCTAATACCCCTGTGGTTAGCACAGTCTGTGCGACTGCCGTTCTTGGATATTGCCACTATAATCGATTCGCTCCTGGTTAGCTGTGACATCTACCACATACGTTTAAACAGGGAGGTCAGTGCTTTGCAGAGGACCTCAGTTTCATCCTTACATATTGCAGGTGAGAGAGAATCTGGACCAGCGGCACGATAATCGATTGAGAGCTGTGATCACGTTTCGGACTTCGGCCTCCGACGGAGGCTCTAAACTAACCGTCCATGGTTCGTCCTGCATCACCTGAGTAGGAATAGGTCCGGGAGCAGAGGGCCAGCTAAACTGATCTTGAGTTCCGCCCAACGAGCCATAAGGCGCTGCTTATTGTTTAACAGTGCACCCGCGCTATCTGATTGTCTCAATGAAACCCGGTTTCCTGGGACCAGTGGTTCGGTTGTTCTGGAAGACCTTGCTGTACTTGCCTACTGCTTCTGCCTCCTCCATTTCTTGAGCTTGACTGGTCCACAAGGCTTCCTTGTCATCACGTAGGTTTCGCTTTAGTTCGCGCCTAATAGCCCGTCTGGTCACATTTTGCTCAGAGTCAGCCGGGAGGTTTCTTCTAGATTCCAACAGGCTCACCGACCTCTCGAATATCCAGTAACTGTTGCGGTGACGTTTGATAATGCCACAAACAGATGCGCCTGCGTCATGCATGGCTGCCGAGATCCCATTCCACTGAAGCTCAGTGTCATTAGGACAAGACAGCGAAAATTTGGCACGCAGTGCTTCTTGATAGGCTTGCCTGACCGAGGGCTGAGACAATTGATCACTTGTCAATCAGAGGAGACGCTTGGTGCGCCTCCCGGTAAAGTTCATTGAGAAACGACAGCATACTAAAGAATGCTCGGAGTCGATGCAGGTATTCCAGTACGAGCGGCAATCCAGGATGGAACCACCTGACCTGTAACTTATGGCAATGTGGTCAATTTGGGTCCATCGCTGGCCAGCTACAGGAGGACGCCAAGTGGCACTTCGGTGCTCACTGTGTCTACAAGCAGTGCTACTAAGAAACAACTGGTGCTCCGCACAGAGTTGCAGCAGACGCTGGCCGTTGTCAGTTCGGTCGGAGTTAAGCCCATAGTTGCCACCCAGCTGAGCTTCTGAAGAGCTCAGACGCCCTACTTGTGCGTTCATATCCCCTGCAACTTCTATACTATCTGAACTAGTAGCACTGCGTAGTAGCGCCTTCAGTTCATGATAGGATGTGTCCTTGACGGCACTAGAACTGCAGTCGGTGGGAGCATAAGCGGAAATCCCAAGCACACAGTCATGTGCTACTTCGTGAACCAACCTTAGTTGAGGTCCTCAAACGGGCTGCACACAAATGGCTGTTCACCGGAATCCAATCAACCAACGATGGCTCATCCTTGGAGCTTAGAATGATACCTACACCAGCTTGACGCGTGATTGCTTCATCGGCGTCTCCGGATACGTGCAACCAGTAGCGAGAGGATAAGCCGGGTGCAGTTAATTCAACAACTCCGCCAAGGTCATTGATCCTAGTTTCGGACACACAACACCTCCTACCCTGTGTGTCCAAGGTGCATGTGAGTACAACCTGTTGACCTATTTGTCTTAGTGCGAACGTTAAACGTCGCCATGGAAACGGGACGGCGTGGCCTTATTAGCGACTGTTGCTGATTGGTGTTGTGGATGGTGGCTGCATGTGCTTCTACTCTAGTGGCACCTCGGTTGCTGTTAATTAAGCTGGGAATTATAGGAGGAAAGTTAGTAATGGAGGTTGGGATGGGAGTATGAGGAACAGGTGGAAAAGAAAGAAGGGAGACCCCAGCAGTAGCATGTTTTAGCTTATCCGCTCTGATGTATGCAGCCGATAAGACGATCCTTGATAATCTGCGCGACGGCCGATGTAGGATGAAGTCTATGTTTGAAGAAATAGTCATGATTGTCTGTGGGCTGAGATGCCGGCCCAGACCTAGACAGGAAGACGATTAGGGTCCTCATCCAAAGCCTTTGTCTCAAAAACCTGTCCGCAAGGCAGCGGGGAGGTTGCAATGATTTAGTTTTGCAGAAATGGACGCCTTCCCATTTCAAATCCCCAACCTGGAGGACCAGGAGATTGTGTTTGTCTGACTTCTAAACATCGTCCAACCTGGTGGGTGTAGCTCTGTAGGTGCCAGGAGGCACCACCCAGTATAGCTCAATGGGTCAAACAGGTATGCAAACCATCGCACAACGTTAAAGTCCAGTCTCGTTGTGACGGGACTGTCCTTCGCGAATTCCATGGTTCCCCGCTTTTCGTGTTGTAGACGAAACTACGCACTTAGCAACGAGCTGGTACAGGCAGCTGACGTTGGCACTAATAAAGCATGTCCAGTTCACTCTATAGATCAAGTTTACTGTGCTGACCCGCGCACAACTCTTTACTTCGCACCCATTCCCGCCGACAACCCATTCTCCTTCAATACTTAACACGGGAGGGCATCAACAGTACTGCGGTACTCAATACCGACGCTTCGCAGCCTCGCAACCACCATTCGCACATGGGTTAAGAATACTGCCGGGGTTACCCGGTGCCTACGTAATCCCGAATGCGCGCCCTCGGATTACAACTCAAACTTGTGATCTTTAAGGCTACAAGCCGTCGGTTTTGCCACTTACTACTCTAGTTGACCGCTGTTTATGGCATTTGCTCAGTTCCACACTCTCCACTTCTCTCATCTATGCAGTTTGCAATGCCACTAGTTGATTATCAGCTTCGTGCTCCTGCAACTCGGAACGCAGTTCAAACTTGCAGTCTTCAACGTACGCACATTACTGCAGATCGGTCAGCAAGCTGGACTTGCACGCACGCTAGAGACCCTTGGAATTGATATCTGCTGCCTGACTGAAACACGACTCCAGGACTCTAACTCCGTCTACCAGCTGGTGTCACCGCTCCACCCACGCATCTTCTTCCATCTACGCCTCTCTGGTGGCGCCGAGTCTGCCGCATCTTGACAAGCTGG